ATTCAAAAAGACCATTTTCAAAAACAAAGCTTTGAATGGTCTCCAATTGTGGACTTCTACTCTTCAATTTTCTTACATTGCAAGCAGGTGACACAAGAGGACAAGCAGAAAATACACGGTCCCTTGAAACATATGTAGAAGATGTGAGAAGAAGAGAGAGTGAAAACAATGGTTGTGAGAACATAGATTTAACTCCATAACTTTTAGAAGCAATGGTTGTAAGAACACAAATTTTGAATTTGCTAGTGTTTTCAAAAGCACAATATTTCCAACTAAAATTAATAAAAATAGGACGAAGGGAGTAATAACAATTGACACTCTAATTTTAAGCAATTGTAATTGAAAAACACGAGCAGCAAAGAAGAAGCTTTTAGAAGACCTCTTCCTGAAGAGGATATGTAACCGCTACATAGATATAGAAAGGTCATAATGCTTAAGAATTTAAAATACCATTTCAGTTTTCAAAATATGTATAACGTGGGCTAGGTGGGGTAAAACTTAAAAATATGGGCCATTTTTTGTTATGGTGTGATGTCATGTGTATTTTCTTGTAATTCTTTCTAAAAACAATATATATATATATATATATATATATATATTTCGTTCAATAAAAAAGGAATCCTTTCTCGGGAATCAAATTCATCTAAAACATATATGTACAATTCAATTTATCAATTAAAAGAAATTCTCCAAATTAAACCTAATAACTAGGGTAAACGGGAATGCCGGTTACAACTTCACAAGAATCTTTGCTTCCCACAGCCACCGGAGCTGCCGTCCACTGCTGTGAATAAGCAGAGGCGCAACCGGTAGTGTGCGGCGGTGCATTCTTGACCTTGACAGAGAAATTGATAATCCCATTCTTCTCACCCTTTTCATCCCTAAGCCTATAACTCAAGAAGTGCAGATAATCTTCTGGCAAGAATCCACCAATGAAATCCGACGTGGGAACTCTTGCAATCCCAATGGTTTTGATCCCATAAGAAGTCTTGCATTGAACCTCCACCGTCAGATTTACTGCATGCGTGGGTAAATCAACGATCAGTTTTTCGTTCCATACAGGGTAACTTCCGCCTTCTTTATCCATTTTAGTTGTTTTGTTGCATGAATCTGTTGTTCTGATATTTACAAAAGCGTTCTTCTTCACCCACTGTTTCCTGCTTTCTCGGAGATTCTCCCCAGATATCACTGTTATTTCTAACACTCGCGACGCTAAAGAGGACGATGGCTTCATCTTGGTCAAAGAAAATCAGATTACTATTTGAAACTTATGTAAAAGATGGAAGAAAGAATGGTAGAGATGGTGGCGTATATATAGAGAAGTTAGAGGAAGAGGGAGAGAAAGGAGATAGAAAGAGGAATGTTGCTTCCGTAATATTTAATTTGACATGGTAAAACTGACTATTTCTCCTAATTTTGGTCAATAACAAATTGCTTGGCAAGAAAATCAATTTAAAGGTTAATCACACGACTAACATTGACGTTTACGTTTTTATGCATTTTATTTATACGATCTGATAAACATTACTTGGGCTAACATGTTATAATGGGTTTAAGCTACATTGATTGATAACAGTTTTTACACTATATCAAGGCATACAACTTAATTCTAATTTTTATAATAAACATCAATTATATTTGTAACATGATAAAAATAGTTATTAATCCATTATTACATGTTACATTCGTTATGTCAAAAAATATGTCACTGTCAGTATATATATATATATATATATACATTATTTAGAGCGATAACACAATTATAAAGTCCATAGCTTCACGCCGGAAGTCCCACTCAAGATAAAGTGCTAGCGCTCCCTACGAATGATGACTTCATTCTCATAATTCAAACTCAAAATGTTTAATTAAGGATGAAGAGTTAGTTACCGACCTACCATAACTTTTGGTGCTAAAATAAATGTCTGTTCGAAAGATTAACATGCCTATCTATAGACTAGCAAGATATCTTGTAAAAGTTATATATGGACATTTAAACAGAATAGAGTTTTAAGTGTATTACATTACTGATGACGTGAATAACTTTTTACTGTTAAGTTTACAAATCAACTATAAACAAAATAAAGATTACATAACGTGGATTGTTAGCCTACAAATAAGATATAAGTAACATGTTGTAATCCGTTAAACTATATATATTGATAATTAATGTTGAGGCTAATTTTTTTTAGTCACTCAACTAAGTGTTAGTAACAAAGGGATTAACCTTGCGATGTGGATAAGGGAATGGCTAATAACTCTGTCGAAGAAGGATTAGTCGAAGTTTTATCTTTTTCTTTTTTGGCCATGTTTCCAACTTTAATTTTTCAATTAAGTTAAATGTATTTATAATTTTTATAATAAAAAAAAGACTAGAATGTCTCAACCATCAGTCCACTGATATAGTTATAATTATCAAATGCTAATCAGAAAAGACTTTCTTTCTTGATTACTTATTTAGTTCTTCTTGTGACATAGCAACAGTGATATAATCAGTTTATACAAATCACAAGTCCGCTGGGATTATGATATTTATTTCATCAAGTCCTTCAATCAAAGCGTGAGAAATTTCTATAAAAATGCTTCCTAACCCATTAATTATTAGCAGTTAGGTAATTAACTTTTTCCACACGATTTGCTATAGTTATTACATAAACATTTATGGCGAAACTTATATCGATTGCCAAACTAAATTTATTTCAAAGTATTTTACATTTAAAAATAGAACATAAGAAGTCATTTATCATATATCTTTTAATTTCCAAACCATGGCAACATCGAGCTTAGGTGTGGAACAACTTAAATATACCCAAGCATAGCTTTATATGCTCGCTAACCATGCATGGTGGATTACAAACAAAGGACAGGCTTGCACGAATAGGAATAAGTCAAGACAACCTGTGTGTGATATGTGATCAAGCAACAGAGACCATATCACACTTGTTTTTTGAATGCCACTTCTCCAAACTCTGCATTACTAAGACACTAAAATGGCTGAGGTAGGAGTGCAGAACATGGAATTGGAAGGTCTTTGGAAAAGAATTACAAGAAATGTAAAAGGGCGACTAAGGAAAAACTTTGTAAAACTTTGTACTTGGCATTATGTCTGCGTTGATATATGTTATATGGAAGGGAAGGAATGAAGCACTGTTGCAAAGCAAAGTCCCAAGGCCACAGAGCTTATGCAAACAAGTGAAAGAAGAATGCTTACATCGGATGAGAGACTGCCTGGATCTAAGGAAGAAGGATGATGATAGGATAGAGCGGAGGAATTTTTATAACTAGAACAACATTAGGCAAATGTAAATAAGCTATAGAGTTTTAGTTTTATAGAAGATGTTATATAGGTGCTGTTATTTTTCTGTTATTAGACCGTAGTTGATGTATACGTTTTGTCTGGTGATGAATAAAAATTTTCTTTCACCTAAAAAGATCTACCTTATCATTCCGATTAGTGGAGTGCTGATCAAGTGAGATGTTTGAGGATAATGAAAATAAATTTAGACAAAAACTCTTATGATTAAAGATATTAAACGTATGATATGCAATATGTTAATTAATAACAAATAATACGGTTAAAGACCGTATAAGTATATTAAAACTGTAAATAGATTTCTGTATTTTGCGCGTAGTCTGTGGCGACCCAAAACAATGTTAGTCTTCTATAGGTTTGACATTAAATATCAAGAAAAATTCTGCAGGATTTGCTAGAAACAACTCTATATGATTGGAGAATTTCTTGCTTTATTTATTAAAAAAGGAGAAAAATTGCCTCAGCTTCCAACAGTTCACGGTGCACCAGCCCATAGATTAATGGGTTGACTAGACTGAAGAGGAGACGCCAGCTCTGGTGGGAGGGTTTTGGTGATCATGCTTTAATTGTAGGGTCTGGTGTTAATTAACTATGAAATTATTGAGAAAGGCAAATCCAGCATTTTAATTACAAGAGATGTAAAGTACTGTTTAATTAATATTTTTATTCTTTTATGACAAACCAGAATATTTAATTAATTTGAGTTGGAAGCTATAGGCACAATAAGATTTAGGCACCCATATAGATAGTAAACTTTCTGATTTTAGATTATGCAAATGCTTTAGGTGTCATTAGTTTATGCAACATTTAAAAATCCAATAATAATTCTTCACAAAAACGCATTAGTTTAAATTCCTTTTCAGGAAGTATTCGGGAAAAAATACTCCAAAAAGATTTTCTTGAAGTGATTGTATGTTTTCCAAAGGATGTTTAGTCCTCAATTCAGAGAATATTATAGAGTTTTTTTTTAAAACAATAATATTCTAGATATGTTATATCCGACTCTGAGCAAAAACTTTTCTATTTTCAAATAATTTTTCAAATAGTCCACTCAAAATTAGCCAACAACTCCTAAATTGTTTGTTTAGGATCACGCTTTCTTTTTTTATGGTCTTAGTCATTAGGATTGTGTCATATAATCTTACATCATATTCTTGCGTTAGCATATGCGTGTCCAAGCTAATCCATGCATCTTACTACTAATTCCTTTTGTTCTTAGTTTTGTCTCTATTAATTTTATGCGACTTTGTTAAAATGGACAAAATCTTCGGTCAAGATCAGTCTATTTTTTTTGAGTAGTCATCTCCATTAATTTTCTCAGTAATGCACTCTGCAAGTCTTACAAATCCAGTTGTGGTTTCTACCCGTTAATAGATCAACAACTTATGTTATACATTTTAACTGGGCACGATATTTAAAAAGAACAAAAAGGACTTTTGAAATTTAAAATTTAAAACAATTCATAACTATTTCCTTAGTTATGAATTTTAAAGCTAAGTTATTTTTAAGTACAGCAAAGATATCTTTCTTTTAGCGAGAGACTAAAAAGAAAAATATATTATATAAATTGAGATAGAAAAAGAAGCGACAACAAATTGAATGGAGTATAATTTATCAAAATTAGCTTTAAATAGCGGTGCATAATTTGAATAGGGGTGCAACAAATGACTACTTGGTGTCACTTCTACAAGATTACCCCAAATGTTTGAAACCGAAAAAAGAAAAAGAAAAAGAAAAACAGAAAACAGAAAGTGGAAGCAGTAAACGACGTCGTGTGGAGCAGCATTATCTTCTCCATTGCTGCTGCTTTTAGCTGAACAAAATGGCTTCTCTATTATCTTCTCGTCTCCCACATCATCTTTCCTCTAATAAACCGGTGCTCCCACCATCAAGCTCCGGTTCAATTCTCCTTCACAACTTCACATATAAAACCCGGTTCGATCAATCCCGGTTCAAATGTTCAGCTGGTGGAACGGGGTTCTTCACGAAGCTGGGTCGTTTGCTGAAAGAGAAAGCAAAGAGCGACGTGGAGAAGCTGTTCTCAGGATTCTCGAAAACTCGAAACAATTTAGCAGTTATAGATGAACTTCTCCTTTACTGGAACCTTTCTGACACTGACCGTGTGCTCGATGAACTTGAAGAGGTGAATTTTTGAAAAATTAATGTTTTACTTCTTAGCCACTACAGAAAGTGTTGGAGGAATATACTCTGTATGTTCTATTTTTATATAAGATGAGATTTAATTAGATACGAGTTTAAAATATTAAATTAAACTGGTTTGACTAACTACGAGTTTAAAATGTTAAAACTAAACTTCATTGCAGCAGAAGAATATTTCAGAGTCTTGTTTGAAATGGGTAATAATGTTTTTGATACTTAGCGCAGCGTAGCCTTAGTTTAGTGCTGCCTTTAACTGACTATAAATGCTGCAGGTGGGAATTTTGCAATTATGTGTAAATTGAATTACCATTGCATGTATTCTACTTCTTTATATATGAATTTCATGGGGAAGGAAACTAATCTTAAAAGAATGTTGCTGATCCTTATTCTGAGATTAATGCCACTATTTGGTGTATTACATTACGAAATATACTTATGTCCAAATTTTGATCTGTGCAATTATTTAAGGTAAGTGGATTATTATTCCGGCACATGCAAGTATTGAGGTTTGAGACAATCTTTAACTGTGGTTTCAGGTTCTGTTGGTGTCTGATTTTGGCCCGAAGATTACCATAAAGATTGTGGAGAGCTTGCGGGAGGATATATATGGGGGGAAAATCAAATCAGGAAGTGAGATAAAAGTAATTATGCTGATATTGTCATTTTTTTCAGTAACACACTGATCTATGCATATTACCATAAAGATTAATAACAACTAATTATATGCAAAGATAACAGTTTTACAAATTTATTTTACTGTTTGTTTGTTAACTTACTGTTTTTCTTGGCTTATGGATGCATTGACGTTGTGGATTGCAATTGTATTGGTATAAAGAGTGCTCTTAAGAAGAGTATCTTGGATCTATTGACTAGCAAGGCACCTAAAACAGAGCTCCGTCTGGGCTTCAGGTTTCAACTGCTTTATAAAATACAGATTTTAATTTTACATTTATTTTATGCTTGTTTTTTAGTAGACTGAACTTAGATTTAGAACTTGCTTTTATGTACTAGGAAACCAGCTGTGATCATGATTGTGGGCGTCAACGGAGGTGGGAAGACAACATCTCTTGGTAAGGGAAGTAATATTTGTATAATTCATGGTAAACCTTCATTGTTGGTTGGAAAAGTAGACAAGCTGTTGTATGTTTGTCGCAGCAGTATAATTTCTCCAAGATCCATTTTTGTCAAAAAGTTAGTGACTTCTTGGTAATCCTCTAGAAAACATTTATAGTGGTAACGCTAGTAAAAGGAACAAAGATTTCTGGTATGTCCATCACCATGTCAAGAATTAAAATAGTGTCAGTAACTTGAGAGCTTTTCTCTTATTCTCCTAATGCAGGAAAGCTGGCAAATAGATTGAAGAAAGAAGGGGCTAAGGTGAGGCAATGCGGATCTATTAGTGCTAGCCACATTTCCATATCACTAATTACAAACTTTTCCAGTTAAATATCTCCAGTGAGCATTAGTTTTATGTTTGAAACAATAATTACCAATATTCTTATTGTTCAAAGTTTTGCATTGCATTTTAAAGATATCTTTGTGGCAATGTTAAACTTGTTACATACACTGTAGCTTTAACTCTTGTGATTGGTGCGGTCCAAAGCTTTTATGTTCTTCAGTTGGTTTGGGCAACCGACTCTATTATCTAAGTTGAGTAGTTCTGTCAATGAAGACCTTGGTTAAGCCGAAAAGACGGAATACATTCCTGTGATTCCCTTCCAACCTCGTGCGGACCTTCATACTCATATCTTGGGATAAGCTTCCAATTATTAAACTTTGACCAGATGAAACGTCTCATGATCCTTCCCCTCTACCTTGAGGACTAGCGTTGGAATTAGTTTTTGTTTTTTCTTACGGTCCAGTCATTTTTATATTTTCTTACTGTGTAAGTCTCTCATTCTTTTTACCTTCCTTTGATATTTTTCAACAAAGGAAATTGGTATTCGTTATGCATTCTGAGTAACTCGCTCAAACATTTTTATCTCTGTCACTTAAGTAGAATTAGATGCATTATCTTTCATCCTCTACTCATCATAGGATAGCTTCTGCATCTCACGTTTTTTTTTCTGTGAGCTTTTTAGATACTATTAGCAGCTGGTGATACATTTAGAGCAGCTGCTAGTGATCAGTTAGAAATTTGGGCTGAAAGGACCGGTTGTGAGATCGTTGTTGCTGAAAAAGAGAAAGCTAAGGCATCATCAGGTACCAAACTACAATGTTTAATTCGCAAGTGTTTGCAATGCTAGATATTAACCAGAATAAAAAATGACAATGTAAACTTTAAAATATTCTCACCACATGATCTTGAAGTTCTTCCTGAGTAGTTCTTTCACAGGCTGTTAAAAGAGGAAAGGAAGAGGGTTTCGATATTGTTTTATGCGACACATCTGGCCGTAAGTTTTGTGAACATGAAAACAGCTTTCTTATTCACACTTGGAGAGTATCTTTGAGTAACAAAGATTAAAACTTTTTACCAGGTCTGCACACCAACTATAGCTTGATGGAGGAATTGGTGGCATGCAAAAAAGTTGTCAGTAAAATTGTTACTGGTGCACCTAATGTATGTTATACTTGAACTCTTCAGCTTCCCTTTTCTTAATTACAGTGTCAAGCTTCCGTTAAGACTTGTCCCTTCTTTTGGAAAACTTGTGGTGTTTAAGTGTACAATGGAGTCCCGATTACCTCTTCACTAAATTGGCTTTGAACTGATTTAACCTATAATATATACATACTTGAATAAGCATATAACATGTAATGAAGTACAAATGGGGTTTTGGTCTACATTGCCCCTAGTCTTTCAATTATTTGAAGAAAGTTCTTACTTCACAGCCCCTTCATTCAACCTTTTTAAGTAAAACACTCAGAAATGCTTTCAAGAACTTTTTGCTAATTATTTTGAATAATTTATTCCTAAATAATTGTCCATGTGCAATGCACATGCATGCAAACTAGTTTCTGCAGAAAAGGGTTCAAGTGCTGAGACTATCCTCATTCCCACCTAGACATTGTTTTGTTTCTACATAATATAGTTTATATCATTAAAATGACTTTGTCCCTTAACCAGAGATATTTACATATAATGTTAGCTGTTTCATTTTGCTATTGCTAGGTATATGTCTGTCTTCTCTGTTTCCTTTAGGGTGTTGCGGGAGGGGACCTTTAAATGCGTCTCATGTCGGAGATCATGAAAGTTGTCTAGAACGGAGCAGGTCTGTGAGCCGAATATTGGTGAAACTTTGCATGATTTTATGCAGAGGAGCAGTAGAGAACAGGAACTAAGATTAGCAGCTTGCTACTCCTCTGAAAATTCAACATTCACAAATAACATTATGTGGCAGATGCTATTTAATACTTTATTCCCAGTTATCTCAAGTAATCAAGTTATTGTTATTAATTTATAAGTTCTCTTAGAAGATCCCCCGTATGGACTCTTGGGTCTTGTGAGGCTTCTCTTTGTCATCTATATCCTGACTCAATCTATTTACCATGCTAAATTTCTTTAGAGATTAAGCTATATAATTGCATGCATTGCAGAATGGAAAACAGCTGTCATGATTATTAAAACAACTTATCAAAATTTTGCAGGAAATCTTGCTTGTACTGGATGGAACTACTGGTTTAAATATGCTTCCACAAGCTAGAGAGTTTAACGATGTAATGACACTTGATATCTCGTTATTCTGAACCTCTATAAGTTACTTTAATTAGTTCAAGGTTCTTTATGAAATTGCCTTCTTCTCTCAGGTTGTTGGAGTCACTGGCTTAATATTGACTAAACTTGATGGTTCTGCTCGAGGTGGTTGTGTGGTATACTTTGAATTCTCCAAACTTAGCTCGTTTTTCTTCTTATGATTTTGTTGTCTGTTGTTGTGGTTAATTTTTCTCTCTATCTGACAAATTGCAATTACTTAAACGATCTCAATCTTTTGTGGATGCAGGTTAGTGTGGTTGATGAGCTTGGCATTCCTGTAAAGTTTGTAGGTGTTGGGGAAGGTGTAGATGACCTCCAACCGTTCAATGCTGAGGAATTTGTTAATGCTATCTTCCCATGAGGCATGATCCAGTGACAGTTTCTCCCAGATTCTAAGAAGTACGTGACTCTCTTAAATTTTACGGCATATGATGGTGGTTAAGCTGTTATGGTTTTTCAACCCGTATTTAGTTCGAGTCTCTTAGGTGATACAAGATTTAAATCACAAAAGTAATCGATATTCTTGAAATCTCAACTTGATAGTGAAGCTAGGAACTAGTATGGCTACAGGGAAAATCAGAACATGTTTCTTGTGGTAACGTTGTTCGTCGTTCTAGATGTCACAATATAATGAAGAGCAATTTATAAGATTCTGGAAACATTCATTTATTGTTTCTGCAAGTTCAAATTAGCTTATTAAGCATGAGAGCCTAAACAGTCCTAGTTTGGTAAGTATGGAATTTTAATTTACTTGAGTTGGAGATAATCTCACTTCAGTTTAGTTTAGAATCAGGAGCATCCAAGGGTGTGGCCTATTGGTCGATAGGGGATTAGGGTTCAACAGTGATCTTTTATCTATCAAATTTTGTTGAGTAGAGTTACCTGGTACCTATAGATTCAAGGTGGGCTTAATCTGAAATTTTTCCCTATGGTAAGATCAAAATTAGTCCCTATAATTAGGGGTCATCTAACTAGGTTCAACTTGTATTTTGTTTGATCCTCGAGGGAGGTGGCCCAGAATGAATGAATTTTGTCGGATCCTACATAACCAAGGTAAGACATCATGTTGGGTTATGTTAAAATATTGGAAAATTGGATTGAATTTGGACCATTCAACTCTCTGTATCGTTATCACTAAGTAGTAGTTCTGTTGCTGTAAATAATCTTTGTGTAGAACTCGGCACTATAAATACAACGTTTGGTTTCTGTTATAAATTCTGCTTTACTAATTCGACATTTGGTTTCCAATGTAAAATTCCATATAACTAACACTTCAAACTATAGGTACCAGGTAAACTCCAGATACCAGAAAGGTACCAGGTAAACTCCCAGATATCGGGGGTGAAGAGACGCATATAAATATTTTGGAGTGTGAGGAGTAATGAAAAATTTGGGATTTGGTCTTTGGCAAAATGGTTGCGGCATGCCTCGAGTCTGTGTTCATCAGAAGAGACATTAACTGCTATCAGGTATCCTGTGTAAAGGATGCCATTAGTTGCATCACTCGTTTTGAATCCAAGTAACTTTATGTCATCTCCTTGTCATTATTGCAGTACAAATAGTGGTACAACACTTGGACACAACTAATACATGATTAATGTACATGAATTTTCACTTCATTCTCTTTCAATAAATCAGAGGTTCAATTGTGTATTTTGATCAACCAACACTGGGTTACAAGAAAAATGAGGGAATCTCAGATAATTTGAGATGTAAATATTGCTATGGTGATACAGATAAGAGTTGGTCTCAAATTTGTCTAGTATCAGCCTGTATCCATGATTTGCCATTGTAATTTGTACATCAGCTGGAGCCCCTGAACATGTTTATCAAATGTATCTATTTAAAGTGTTTTGAGTTTGGGTTCATAAACTTGCAGCAGGCATGTGATAGAATGTTGCATTAGAGGCGTAGACCAATTTCCCCGAGTCCTTGAGCCGAAAATCAGCTGCAACTATAGTCAGGTTCCTTCCACTCCGAATGACAGACCCATCTACTACCACCTCTACCTAGAAACGATTCAGATACAAAAGGAGACAAATATAATCAGGGAACAAGAACAGAATGATTTTTTTTTTTTTTTTTTTTTTTTTAATTTGGTTGTTGTTGTTGACGGAAGGGGGAAAGGGAGGAGGGGGTACAGACATGATGTGCATTTGCTCATAGAAAATTGTTATACAATAAAACCAATTGATATTGAGGTAGAGGAGCTTTAATACTCACATTGCTTGGAGCAGCAGAAACAAAAGACATACTCAATTCTCCAAGAAAGAGTTCCTTATCCTTTCCCACAACAGTTCTGGCACAGGCAATTGATACCCTTTCTGCTACAGCTCCAACTGCTCCTCCATGCATGCTTTGATAAACATTCTACAATATAGTATAATAAAGAGGTGGCGCACTCGTCAGTACATTAAATATTACACATTCCAGAACTCAGAAGTGCATGTTCCGATGGAAATTGGAGAAACCATTAACTAAAAAATCATGCTTTATGTTTCTAACAACTTACTCCAGACCAGCAAAACAAAACCGTAGAACTCATTTTCGGAAAAGAATACAGAAAGAAGATGCAAAAAAAGTTACTCGATGAATTTACCGAGATAGCAGGTTTGACAGAAAGAATGCAGGATATTTTCCCAGGGAGGACGCTGTGGACCTTGAGGCAGCCGCAAATGAGTTCAGAGAAGGAGTCTTTAGCATCATGTTGGGTTGGAAATTTGGGTCCCACCATACTATCACGGCGGAAGCGAAGATCCACCAAAGAAGCCGCTGCCTCTGATAACTTTTCGGAGATGATTGTGTCTTTTGTGTAGAAATCGTTGGGTTTTGAACTCTCTTCTCCCATCTCTTTTGCCTTCTTCACTATCTTACTCACCCTACCCTGATACTCTTAAAGATATATTAAGCACTTTGCTATATGATCCAAAAATTTCCAACGTTTGTTTAAGAAACTACCAATTCTGCTTATCTAACAAACAACTTTCATTGATACCTTTTTCACCATGCTCAATTTTGTAAAATAAGGTGGAACAACTCAGAATGGGACCACACTAACCATCATACGGCTAAGAACGTCTTAGTTTGACTTGATACGAAATTTTAAATTTTAAATTCTTTTTGATCATGCGATCTTAACCTAACGGTATATGACATACCAAAAGATACTGTTTGAAACTTGTGATTTTAGACATGTCATGTCATTCTTATAAAGAGTGTCGTTAAAGATAATATGAGAATGTTAGAATTTAAAACTTACTAAATATAGAAAGAAATATTCTTTCACAAAATAAGGGTGCTTATGCTCCTTTATTTGTATACACCTCCTTTATTCCATTGAGGCTGTGTTCATCAGAAGAGGCATTTAAGTTGTCCTGTATAAAGGATGTCATTAGTTGCATAGCTTGTTTTTAAATCAAAATAACTTTGTCATCTCTTGGACATTGTTGCAGTATAAGTAGTAACACAGCACTTCAGTTAAATTGGAGTTTCATTGGACACACAACTAATACAAGATTGATGTGCATAACTTTTCACTTGATTCTATTTCAATGAATCAGAGGTTCAATTGTGTAAACAAGAAAAATGAGGGAATCTCAGATAATTCGAGATGTAAATTTGCCTCGGTGATACAGACAAGAGTCTCAGTCTCAAATTCGTCCAGTGATGTCTATATCCATGATTTGCCATTGTACATTAGCTGGAGCAGCTGAACGCTTTTAGCAAATGTATTTACTTAATGTGTTGAGTTTGAGCTCATAAACTTGCTACAGGCATGTGATAGAATGTTGCATTAGAGGTATAAACCAATTTCCCCGAGTCCTTGAGCCGAAAATCAACTGCAACTACAGTCAGGTTCCTTCCACTCCGAATGACAGATCCATCTACTACCACCACTGACTAGCAACGACTCAAAACACAAAAGGAGATCAATACAATCAGGAAAAGATAGCAGAATGAAATTTTTTGTTTTTTTGTTGGTGAGGGAGGGGAGGGGGGAGGGCTACACAACATGATGTGCATTTGCTCTTACGAAATTCCTATACGATAAAACCCGTTGACATTGTCACATTGAGGTAAGAGCACATTCAATGAAAGTTTTAATACTCACACTGCTCGGAGCAGCAGATACATATGACATGCTCAGTTCTCCAAGAAAAAGTTCTTTATCCTTTCCCACAACAGTTCTGGCGCATGCAATTGACACCCTCTCTGCTACAGCTCCAACTGCTCCGCCATGCATGCTTTGATAAATATTCTACAATACAGTCATACAGATACGAGGTTGCATTAACGGTCATTACTCAAGAATAGTTGACACTCCATAAGTGCATGTTGAGATCACTGAGATGATATCTGATTGAAATTGGAGAAAGCATCACATAGTAGGGATATGATTTTTGAATAATCCTTTATTTTTAACTTCATTTTATTTTCACTCTTTATATCTTTATGCATAAAAATTATCTTCATCAATCCTTATTACTCTCAAGCCCTCAATGAAGGTGAGCTGATCAGATGGCAGAGAAAGGAATCAAGTGCAAGACTCAAGACTGAGATCACCCTGTCCAACTTTGCAGAGCAACTAGAAGAAGATAGAAATACAAATCAAAGAAAACTGTTCTATTATCTTGCAAAAATTATTGGAATGTAACATTCCAAAAATATCCATATGTCTGCAACTCAAAGGGCTTACCCATGAAGTGATCCTGGCTAGTACAGGTTTAAAGAGAGAACAGACATATTCCGTACACAATATTTCTCTAATTCAACCACAAAAGTTAACTCATGAGATAAAGATTGATCAAAACCATACAAGGAGACATACCCTCAACTATGTACGACTCTAAAAATCTCCACAACCTCAGGACGAGACATTTAATATAACATGATAATCCAACATTGGGTAATCCAAGAATAGGAATGAGTTTGACTCTCATGTTAATAAGATGTCATCAAACGAGCAACTTTCTCCTTGCTCTAAGGCTCGCTCTCACCTATATGTCCGCAATTCCGGAGGGGAAAAAAAGAAGAGAGTTGTATGTGGTGTTTATATTCTTATTAGGGCAGGAAAACTTTTATTTTGTGCCTCTTTTTTGTCTCACAATTGTGTGGGTCCCAGAGTTTTGTGGACCTAGATGTGTAAGATATGGTCCACAAATATGTGAGATAAACCCGTTTGGATTGGCTTGTTTTAAGTGCTTTTAAGCCAAAATAGCTTTTAAGTCATTTTGTAGTGTTTGGATAAAGTAAAAAAGTGCTTTTAAGCACTTGTTTTTAAGCTAAAATGACAAAAACAAGCCAAAAGCAAAAAGTTAGAATTCCTAACTTATGGCTTAAAAGCTATTTTGGCTTAAAAGTCACTTAAAACAAGCCCATCCAAACAGGCTCAAAAAGAGGCCTCATACAACTAGTGTAAGCTGTGTGAGACACAAAATAAAATCACTCTTAGGGCAGAGTCAAGCTAACATTCTCAGTGATCCTCTACCCTCTCCCCCCCCCCCCC